GGTGGAAATATCTGTTTTACGGAACCATATATTGTGCTAAAAAACTGTGCCACGCTTATTAGATTTTTCTCTTAGCTAGCTTAGGGAAGACGTGTTTAGTTGGAAAACATTTTAGAATTTGATATCAATATAGATTATTTTTAGAAACTAGAATAGTTAAACTTTATTACTGCGAGGTTTGTTATTTTACTAGATGGCTTTTTTATTGAGTTTTTTGATGTCTAAAACTTTGTTGTACTTTGGGCATGAAATTAATGTCGAAGATATGCTCTTTTTTTTTTTCTATACTACTCTTTTTTTTAAGTTTTTTATTTATCTATGCACCTGGAAAATTTCATTGAAAAAAAAGTTGTAGCAGGGTGTCTATTTTTTGTCGCACTTTTGGTACCTAATTTTTATTTTGCTGAAATGGTCGCGGGAGACAGAGGGGCTAAATAAACATTGTTTATATTTGATTTTGATTAAACAAAATTTTCAGTATTTTTTTTAGATTAAATAAAATGGAAAGTCGAGATATTGATAAAAGTTTTTAATATTGTTTCTTATTTTTTTAAATTTTAAAAAAATTATTTGTCTTCAATGTAAAGTTACTAAATGAATTTTAATATTTCCTTACTTTAAAGTTGAATTTTTTAAAAATGTAACTGACATATTAGTAATATTATAACATATTTTATCTTATAATGTTAGTGTTATAATTTAATCTTATAATAAAGTAAGTAATTTAAAGCAGGTTTTTTGCTGAATTTAGACAGCAGATTTATAAGTTTAGTAAATTTTAACAATTTCAATGGTATAGTTTAATGATGCTAACTAAAGATTATTACTTAATTGATACACAAGCTAAAGGTGTTTACTTTATTGATACACACTAACTAAAGATGTTGTAACAAAAATTGTAACTTGAAATTAAGTTTATTTTATTATATTACTATTGTTATTACTTATTTCTTTTTAATTCTTTATCAACACTTACTTCATTGATTGGTAAGAGATTAATGTGTATTTTTATGTGTATGTATTGAGAAATATAGTCTGATTTTGTGTATTATGCAGTAATGTACTATTTAATATGAACTATGTTATTGTATATTTAATATGTACTAAATATGTATATTTAATATGTAATATTTACATGTACCATTTAATCTTTTGTGTCATTGTATTATTTAATCTTTAATATCTTTGTCATCTGTTGCAGCTGGTAAGGTTTCTATATTACTAACTTGAGAGATAAAGTTGTTAAATGCTCAGTTCATGTAGCACGTATAAATAGAGTTAGCAATCGATTGAATCAAGCTAAAATTAGAGCCAATATTTCCCAAATACAGGCATCCAAGCTCCAAAAAATCGATAAAAAATAAAAAAGTCAGAGCAAAAAAAGTTAAAGCGTTAGCTATCCTAGTTTTCCTATCTATCTATTCCTAACTATCCTAGTTAGCTAACCTTATAGTTAGGTTGGGGGGGTTATTCGCCCCTCCCATACATCAATGTAAACACGACTTAAATTCTACCACCACGTAAAATCTTGTAGAACATTTATATTGTATACTAATTGAATTCATTTTAGTAGAGATAAAAATATTTATGAAAACAAGTCTTGTATCAAACCATCGCCACCACACCCACCTCCAACGTTAACATACGCCTCTCATATACTCTGGTAGTTAAATATAATTTTATAACAATGTTTTTGTATATTTAAAATACTTATGTCTTGAAAAAGACTTTTTTTTGTGAAAAAAAATGTTTAGTTTCATACGGATAAGGTGGTGGTTTGGTGCCCCCTCTGTCCATCCGATACACCCTGGTGTTCAGAGTTTAACAAAAATTTGTAGCCCACTCTTACACCTATCTTTTGACACCAAGATATTTGTATTTCTTTAAGAATTAATAAAGTTATGACAATTTAAGTGAAGAAAAACATAATTTTGACCACAGTTTCTTCAACAATTCCATATATCGACAAATCGGTACTTAAACTGCCATAACTTTTGAACCAATTGTTTGTTTTTAATAATTTTTTCGCCTTTAAAATACTGTATTGGTCCCCTTTCTAATGATATATAACAGTAGAATATTTAAACAATTTGAAATTTTTACTCACGTACCTAATATATATATATATATATATATATATATATATATATATATATATATATATATATATATATATATATATATATATATATATATATATATATATATATATATATATAATATATATATATATATATATATATATATATATATATATATATATTTATATTTATATATTGATAAAATAAACATATGCAGAAAAAATGTCTATTAGATCCTACTACTATACTGTAGTTTATTACTATACTACTATACCTTTATACTACGATACGCTTATACTCCTTCTACTACACTAAAACAATTTATTATAAGGAATCAAATTAAATATAACGGAAGCTTGTTTTTAAATTTTTTAATTTACAGAACGCTTTTATCGGAGAAGTAAGCGTTCTCATTAGACGTTCTGCAAAATATTTTTTTAGAAATCGAATGGAATCGAAAGCACACGATAGTCACGATAAGAGAAACTTTGGAGGTCTATACTGGCTGCTTGGAACACTTTTAAAGTGGGATCTTTTTATTTTAGATTCTCAGATATTTAAAACGCAAGATGGTCAAATCAGAACTTAGTTACTAGATGGGTATAACGAAAGTGATTGAATTTCATGCCACAGACGCCGGCCTATTTATAAAATATATATATTCTAAGAAAAAAAACGAATGAACTTTTGCAGTTTTCATGTAACGTAAGTTAACAAAAACATGATAAAGTTTCGATTGTTATAAAGATTAGTTAAAAAACTTAAGTTTTTTAATAATATATTTAAAGTTTTGAATAACGATGCTTAGTTAGAGCACAATTTTAAACTTGTGTAACGTAAGTTAAAACTACAAACATTTTGAAAATGTTTGTAGTTTTAACTTATGTTACACAAATTTAAAATATGAAAATGATTTTCTTAAGTTCTGACGCTTTTGGTTAGCTAAATGAATTACGTCATTAAGTAATTATTATTTCGTTGACAAGGCTTTAACTAGAACTTTTTATTTAAGGAGAATTTAGAAGAAAATCTTTTGTTTTTTTAATGTTAATTAAAACTATTTATATTATTGCTTTTTTATTTGTTTATGTATTCTTACTTTATTTGACATAAATACATACAAATAAATTAAAATATGAATTATTTAAATATTTGTATTTAGACAATAGGAAAAAAAAATTAATTTGCTATTCTCACAGTATAAAAAAACCAGTTAGAAACTTATTTAACTTTGTTCTAGTAAAACAAATCGTTTATAAATTATGAGTCAACCATAAAGTATGTCACCCCATATTTATCAATTTTTAACCTCTTTCCTCACGTCACAAACAATCACATACAGGGCCGTCTCGAAGGGGGGTGTCAGGGGTGTCCCCCTCCCCCACCCCCCAAAGCTGTCATTTAAGCATTTGAGATGGCACATTGAGCAAATTTTGAACTATAGTTGGCAAATTGCAAATATTGGGGACCTTTTTCTATTTTTTTTTAATTTTTTCTTTTTGGTGTTTCTAGTTGGCAAAAAAATACTAACTCCCCCCCCCCCCCCAAAGAAGACCTCTTCGGGACGGCACTGATCAAATATAGCTGATTCCCTCTGCCTTCTAAACTGTGATAGCAGTTTTTCTTCAAAAATATTTCAAAAGATTTAAATGTAAATATTTTGCAGCATTTTGAAAATTCAACCTAATGAAAACAAGGCAATACGCATAAACGTAAGGAGCGTAAGTAAAAACTTCGACAAACCAAAGATTTGTAAATTTAAACCACTCAAATTAGTATTAAAAAGTTGTAATTTTTCAAAGTTGCTCTTGGTCTTGCGGAAACTGCTTTCAATTTGATAACTTTTATAAATGTTATGAAAAATCACTCAGGAAAAGTGCCACCAATGTTTTTTAAAATTTCCTTTGTTAATTATTTTTAAAGATGAGCTCAATTGTTTTGTTACGTAACTCTAACTCGAAATAATAGAAGTAAAAACCGCAAGGTAACGTAACGTAAGTTACACACATGGTATCAAAAAAAAAACAGTTTTTTTACCTTACCGGTCACCTATGATAAAATTTATATATTTTTTAAATTGGCATAGAATTTCTAACATCTTGTGAAAGTTTCTGATCCAAACCGCTTTACTGATTCGCAAAAATCTGACCTAAAAGTTGAAGTTTTTTTTTTACCTAGTTTTCCGTGTAATATAAGTTAAGCGGCATTTTTAGTAATAAGTTCACCCTTATTAAGCCAGACTCAAAACTTTTTAGCTTATTTTATTCTTTAGACTAACAGCTTTCATACAAAATAGCTAAAAGTTTAATTTACAGTTTAAATAGGCAAAAATTTGATAAAGTTGTTGCGCGTGTAACGTAAGTTAAAATTGGAATTGCCCACATTTATTATATATACATATATTTTGATTATAAAAAATAAATGAACCTTAACCAATTTAACATAAATATTTTATCATAAAATTTATGTAATAAACATATTAATACAAATACAACGTCAATCCACTTCAATTGTTATTTACAAAATTTAGCAAAATTACTTTAAGGTGATCACCGAGTAACGATTCTGTATCTTGGCAATTTCTGTATCTGTTTGGCAATTTTTACCTCCCCCTCCCCATTCCACCCGCTAACAACTTGTCAAACTTTTAATGACCTCACAATAAACACGATTGGTTACCTTCCATTTTGTCCGAAATAAAATTTAAATTAAAAAAAAAAAATTCTCCTTTTTAAAGTAATTAAGTTTTGAAAAAGTATTACTGTTCACGTCATCTGTTCTTGACCTCCCCCTGTTTCTCGTGTCAACAATTGTTGTGTATTTTAAACCTCCTCCCCCATTTTGCTGACATAAATAATAGTCATCCTCTTATCAATTAATTGTTATATTCAATTTAAAACATGAATCCAGGTAAAGTAACTAATATAGGACCAATTGTATGGAATAAAACGATTGACGATAATATCAAACACCTAAAACTCAAGATCAGTTAAACTATTACTTTTAAATAATGAACAAATTTGTTATTGGTTTCAGAAAAAGTCTGCTATAGAGCGTTATTTCTCAAATTATCTAGAACAGCGGTTAATGTAAGAAATTTTTATAAAAATTTATATTTTTAAGTTTTACAATCACTTGAGAGATATTTGCTTGTTAAATTTTATAAGCTTATCATTTATACTTTTAAAACTCTTTTTGAAGTTTTTTTTTTGAATTTTTGTTTATAAATGAATTAGATAAAACAAAAAAAAAATAAAAACAGAAAAAAGTAGAAAAAAATTTGATTTAGTGATAATGATTATTGTCAATAACTTTTAAAACTTTTTTATGATTTAAAAGGTAATTTAATTTACAAGGTAAATTAAAATAACAACAGTGTTTTTTAGTTTTTAGTTAACATTACTGTATTGATCTATTTTAAAAGAAATTTTGATTTGAATAAAAACTCAATTTTGATTAAGATTTTGGTACAGCAAAGCGGTTTATGGAAAATCTTTTATAATTTTTCATTATTATTATTTATTTATGTTGTCATTTGAAATAAACGTCATTTCGTCATTTAAAATAATGAAAGAAATTAAAACGTGAACTGTCTCAATAATCAAATTTACTGTTTGTTTGCAAAAAAAAAAAAAAAGTTAAGGGAAAGCGAAAAACTAATTCAAGACGATTACCTTACGTAATATTACGTAATATTACGGTTACGTAGTATTACGTAATATTGAGTAATATTAACTCGAATTAATTAACTTAAGTTAATTAAATCGAGTAGTGTTGTGACCAAAACTAAAAATTGTAACTAACTAAACTAAAAATACCGTAACTAAAATTAGTTGACTAACTTTTTAGTTAACTATAATCAGTCGACTAACTTTTTAGTTAACTAAAATTACGCGACTAACTTTTTAGTTAACTAAAATTTCCTGACTAACTTTTTAGTTAACTTAAATTAGTCGACTAACTTTTTAGTTAACTAGAATCAGTCGACTAACTTTTTAGTTAACTAAAATTATGCGACTAACTTTTTAGTTAACTAAAATTACCCGACTAACTTTTTAGTTAACTAAAATTACCCGACTAACATTTTAGTTAACTAAAATCAGTCGACTAACTTTTTAGTTAACTAAAATTACCAGACTAACTTTTTAGTTAACTAAAATTAACCGACTAAGCTTTTTGTTAACTAAATATACGCGAATTTGTTTTTAGTCCAACTAAAGAATTTTATAAATATATAATATAAAAAATTTGGGTACATGATATCATTTCTATTAGAATTTTTGAATAAGATTGCGAATGCATAATCATTTTATCGCATAATACCGCAAAAATAAAAAAATATCAAAACAAGCGAAACGTATGCAAACTTATACTTACGTATGCAAAGCAAAACAGAATAACAACTGAATGTTTTCAAAAATTGATGTTTTTGTACGAAAACTTGGAATTTTTTTAATTTAGTTTTAATTCATTAAATATAATACTGAAGTTTTTTCTTGTAATAAATATTTTTTAATATATTTATTGTTCTAAAAGAAATATTATTAAATTTAGTATTCGATCTCTTTTGAGTAAAACTGATTTTTTTTTTTTTGATACAAAAAATTAAAAAATTAATATAGTTTTTTAAATTTAAAATGTGTTAAAAAAAAAAAAGATAAAGAAAAAATTGAAAATCAAAAAAATTAATGTGTGATTTTAATGTTCTTAAGGTGGTAGCAGGGTGAAAAAGAGGCGTTTTTTGAAATTTTTTGAAAATTTCAAAAACTATATTTTTGAGATCTTTAGGGTTTTATTTTTTGTGGAAACTTGGTTTGATTTAAAAAAACTTATGCATTTATACAAAATTTACCCTTCTAGATAAAGGTATTTAAGTTCTTAGGCCATAGCAACCGCCTTAGCAACGCTTTTTTTCAAATATCTCTGGATTAAAACCTGATCAAAGCATCTAGTTTTCACCTAAAAGGCTTCTTTTTATTCTTTTAAATATCTCTATTTATTCAGTTTATAAGCTATACACTGAAGCCTCAAAAACCGTTCTCTTCTAAATAAAGGTTGTGTTATAGATTCTTATATCCTTCAGTTAAAAAATATATATATATTTTAATTAATAAAGCTATTATTACTTGGAATGGGTTCTGAAAAAAGATATAAAAAATTACGATCAAGAAAAAGGAAAGGATTTACCACAAGAGCTTTAACTGACAATACATCAACAACAGTAAACAATGAACTGATGAACAATACATCAACAACAGTAAACAATGAATCGAGTCAAAATAAATCTGATTTAAAATCAGCGTCTGGAAAAAAAATTAAATGTTTCATTTTCTGAAAATCATACTCCAATTGCCACCCCTGGATGCAATTTTTTTATAGACAGTGATCTTTTTATGTCTCTTATTAATATAGTTGGACGATGCCCTGTTTGTATTGCAACAATAGGCATTAAACATATTTTATCAAATAAAATGGGTCTTGCCCAGTTTTTTAATATTTCATGCACCGAATGTAATTGGAAAATAATATTTTGTTCTTCAAAAGAGTGCAGTAAATTTAAGTCTACTTCCAGAAAAAAAAGTTTTGAAATTAATATACAAACAATTGCTGCATTTAGAGAGATCGGTCAAGGTTTTAGTGCAATAAAAACATTTTGTTCTTGCATGAATTTCATTATATGTTGTTTTAGCCATTGGTGATGGCATACCAATGGCTAAAACAACATATAATGAAATTAATAGTGAGTTGCATAATGCCTACGTACAAACAGCACAAGAGTCAATGAAAGAAGCTTCCAAACAAATACATTTTAAAAAAACTGTAGATGATTCTGTTGTTATTGATGCTAAAGTTAGTGGTGACGGTGCTTGGCAAAAAAGAGGATACTCTTCCTTGAATGGAGTAGTTACACTAATTTCGGAGGGGAAATGCATCGATACTGAAGTGTTATCTAAAAAATGTAAACAATGTAAAATGTAAGAACTAAAAAAAGTGAATGTAGATGCATATAATAACTGGAAAGAAACTCATGTATGTTCAATAAATCACATTGGCAGTGCTGGAGCTATGGAAGTTGTAGGAATGAAAAGAATGTTTGCACGTTCTGTACGTCTTCATTGTCTAAGATACACATTTTTTATTGGAAATGGTGATACAAAATCCTTTAAAGAAATATGTAAATCAGATCCATATCCAGGTCATAGCATTACCAAAGGAGAATGTATAGGACATGTCCAAAAACGTGTTGGAACACGACTGCGTAAACTTAAAGCCGATTACAAGGGAAAAAAGTTGACTGATGGTAAAAGCATTGGGGGAGGGAAAGGTCGGCTAACTACTAAAGTCATAAACACTCTTCAAAACCATGTTGGAATGGCCATACGACAAAATAGTGGCAACCTGTATGGGATGAAAAAAGCTGTTGCTGCGGTTTTACACCACGCAACAGATGAGCCAAATTTAGAAAACCGACATCAGTTCTGTCCACGTAGCTCTGATTCTTGGTGCAGATACCAAAGTGATAAAATCACAGGAGCAAAAACATATAAAGAAAAAGTTAATATTCATAAAGCTGTTTCTGATGTTATTGCTCCAATATTTTTTCACAGAGGTCTTGGTAGTGATGAACTTCTGACAAAATGTTTACACAGTGAGACCCAGAATGTCAATGAGTCTTTGAACAATTTGGTATGGACACGGTGCCCAAAAAGGGTATACAATGGAAATGATGTTTTTAAAACTGCAGTTGCATCTGCTGTTATTGTATACAATGACGGTGCCCAAGGACTGCTTCCAGTTTTTAATAAACTGGGCATAGACAATGGGTATTTCACTAAAGAAGGTTTTAGATTATCTGATATTTGTCGTGTCAAACAATCTGAGAAAAAGTCAACTAGCTCAGTAAAAAAAAGAAGAAAGAAACTTCTTTCAATTAGAAAAGGTCATAATGATAAAAATGAACTTGAGAAAGGAGAGACATATGCTAGTGGAGCATTTTAATTTGGTTTTTGAGTTTTATTGTTTCATTTAATTTTATTTATTTTTTTCTATAAGGTTTTTCTTGCCTTAAATTTTTCACAATTTTTGTGGTCTTTTAACAAAGATAACTTTTGATTGGATAAAGCTACTAAGCTGAATTTTTTTTTGGTGTTACATTATTCTATTTAGAGTGTTCTGAGCGAAGCACTTTTAAAATTTTTTTAAAAACATAGCCAGCAGTGATATTTTTACATAAACATATTTTACATAAACATTTTTTTGAAATTTGATTGAAAAATATTTTTACATAAACATTTTTTTGAAATTTGAAGTTTGACAGTAAACCTGGCGCGTTTAAAAAAAATATTTTATTTTCTGTTTCGCTCAGAACATAGTATTACTAATAAAGATTGCAATTAGAAAATTAAAAGTGATTCTGATCATTTTTCATTTAGTTATCCTTGTTAGAAGAAACATATAAAATTAAGGCAAAAATCTGTTCATGACGTGTACAATTGATGACGTCATTATTAATTTTTTATGCAAATAGTGTTGAATATTTTTTTTTAAATAGTATTTTTCATTACAATAAAGCATATCGAATTATTTTGACTTTTTTTAAAAAAAAGCGTTTTTACCCTGCTACCACCTTAAGCGTGCGGTTTTATTATAATGTTGCCTAAAACAGCAAACTTTTTTACCTTTATTATTTTAATAGTTTGGTTGTTTTGTTTTTTTATTTATTTATATATTCTTTAGTATTTTTTTAAACATCTATCTAATGAAAAAATATAAAAATAAATATAATAAAAAAGTTATTGAATTTTAATTTATAATTGTTTGACCCGGTTTTACACGTATTTTAAAGTGCTTAAAAACTACGTATTGCATTTTTCAAGTAATTAAAATGTCATAAACAATTTCCTGGTTTTAAAAGCGACCGCAGTTACTTAATAAAATGTTTTCGTTATTCAACAGTTAAGTATTATTTAATACATTTTATACACTATTCAACAACTTATATTGCGGATATTGCATTCAAAAATGCAAATACCAATTTTCCTTTTAAATTTTGCAGGTATCGCCAACCGACGAACAACTATACTCTAAA